ACATGAGCATGCGCGCACAGGCAGTCCCTTACACCTGTCTCTTATACACATCTAGATGTGTATAAGAGACAGCACACACACACACACGCACACACACACACACACATCCCTATCAACACCATGGATTGATGTTGTGAAAACTGCCAAGATCCATTCTGCAAAGGAATCAGTAATATCGCAGCAAAATAGACACTTTACAGCCGTGTTCACATTGCGTTGAACTAACGCAGCCACATAAGCACAAGTAGCCATGGATTACACTTTTTTGGACGCATCAAAGTAGTTGCGATTCGACTTTAAAATGGATTGACTCAACATTCATAAACTCCTTCTCCCAAACAAATAGGCTAAGAATTTGCAGAATCAATCGGGGGCTCCATGAATGCTTACCGTATAGGTGAAAGCTGTGCCAGGAGCTGCATCTATTCGGCGAACATCCGCCCCGTACCGTGCTGCCAGATCCGTCATCCGCTCACCCCAGATGCCATTGACTCCAACCAGTACGATGTCGCCTGGCTCGACAACCTAAGCATGACCGCAAAGATTGAAAGTTGTTATATGATGTATATAAGACTTTGCACTTTGCATACCTGCCATGTGGGGGTACACACATGTAGCCCTGATAAACAGATACCCAGTTCAAATCCTGATGGATAGGATAACCTGAAGGGCTAATCTTTTTAGAAAGGCATTCCACTTTGTGGATGCCAAAGAAAGGAAGACAACATACACAGAAGCCTTAGGACAGAATGACCACAAGAGGCAGGGAGGAAGAAAGAGGAGAGATATGGGGCAGAGGGACAGAGGGACAGAGGGACAAGGGGACAGAGGGACAGAGGCACAAAGGGGCAGAGCGACAAAGGACAGAGGGACAGAAGGAAAGAGGGACAGAGAGGGAGAGAAAGGGAGGGAGGGAGAGAGGAAGAGAGGGAGAGAGGGCGAGAGGGAGAGAGCGAGAGAGTGAGAGAGCGAGAGAGTGAGAGAGCGAGAGAGTGAGAGAGCGAGAGAGTGAGAGAGTGAGAGAGAGAGAGAGAGGGAGCATCTTCCACGACCTCGTCTCCTTCTTCTTCATCGTCTTCCTCTCTTCTTCGTCTCATTCTACTTTCTGATTTGCAATCAATTCATGGCACCGTCTCGAACTTGAGTTAGTTCTGGGGGAGGTTGGCGGGGCATCTGCTGAGAGAGAGAGAGAAGAGGGGGAGGGGGGGGGGGGGGGGGGGGGGGCGCAAACACCCATTTAGTTTGCATTACACTGAGGTTGACTACATGAGAGAGAGAGCTTCAGTGAGACAAAGGAACAGAGTTCAAGAGCTTCAGAAACTGAGAGAGGAGGGCGTTTCAGACAGCATGAGAGAGAGAGAGAGAGTAGTTGGTATACAGCAAGCCATTCACTCACATTTGCGACTGCTGCCTCCATTGCTGCATGTCCTGTTCCAGATACTGCCAGTGTCATTGCATTTGACGTTTGGAACATGTAGCGAAGCCACGTTTGCACCTCGTCCATCACGCCCAGGACCTCAGGATGCATCTGCACAAAGAAGAGAATGGCCGCATCACAAATGACAAAAAAAATCAAAAGGGACGAACAGCCAAAGGAGAGACGATAAGGGGAAGCATGCGAAAGTAAACTGATGAAGACATTAGCGGAGGGTAGACAGACATACACACAGGTACACACACACACACACACACACACACACACACACACGCAATCATTTTTATGTATGTTTGTCTTCCCCTTGTTGTTTGTTTTATCTGGGATTTTTTTCTAAGTACTTTTTGTTTGCCCAACCTTTAAGCAGTGCCAAATAGTCGGTCATTCCTTGTCTGGAGTGCCTGCAACTCTCTTAGGGGGGGCGCTCAGTTCACGATGTATGTCTGCCTTATGGGTGATGATGGGTGTTATTCGAGTTGAGTCCGCGGCTTAGTGGGTGGAGGGAACCAACAATGTGTGGGGTTTACCTGCGATGGGAGTAGGTGATGTGCTGCTTCGGTCCATGTTGGATGTCCAGACTGCTTTGTCTGCACTGTGCCGCTGCCGTGCGAGTCTCTCACAACGCGGCCTCCGCCCTCAACCTCCTACTCTGCACTGAAAGAGGAGCTATGGTGCCAGGTAAGTCTGCAGGTGAGTCTCTCATAACCTGGCCTCCACCCTCAACCTCCTACTCTACTACTCTCTGCCTATCTCCACTACCAAAACAGCACTGTCCAGCAGCCTGAAGACCTCAACCTCTTACTCTGTGTGCCACAAATGAAGCTGAAAGAGGAGCTATGGTGCCAGGTAAGTCTGCAGGCAAGTATCTCATAACCTGGCCTCCACCCTCAACCTCCTCTACTACTCTCTGCCTATCTCCACTACCAAAACAGCGCTGTCCAGCAGCCTGAAGACCTCAACCTCTAACTCTGTATGCCACAAATAAGGCTGACCCAGCTATATACATTGCTGCGCCTACTGCTGGGTGGCCAAAATACTGGTGCCCAACTGAGTTGAGCCTCCAGAACTGTCGGTGAAGCTGGCACTCAAACTGAAGGAAGATCTGCCGGTCAAACTGCACTACAGGACAAGGACATTCCTGAAATCAGGCGCCCAACTGAAAGTGAGGTGCAGGCGCTCTGTAACTGGCGCCCAACTGAATCTGGCATAGGAAACAGCCTTTGGACCTATATCGGTCCCACTCTGCTAGCAGATACACTCGCACTAAGAGAACGTCACTGAACCAGACTGAAACAGGGCTTGAGGCCGACCAGGAAAGCAATGCTGAGGCCCAGAAAGGAAGAAGGAACCCCCTATTAATCTCCTATCCCTACAGCTATTATTGTCTCTAACCTACTACCAGGGCCAAGGGGCCTGTGTGGTGCATACCTCTCTCTCTCTCTCTCTCTCTCTCTCTCTCTCTCTCTCTCTCTCTCTCTCTCTCTCTCTCTCTCTCTCTCTCTCTCTNTCTCTCTCTCTCTCTCTCTCTCTCTCTCTCTCTCTCTCTCTCTCTCTCTCTGTGTTGCACAAGCGCTGCAGAGCTTCCGCAGCATTCGAATTGATCAGTGCCTCGAAAAGGTGGTGTAGCATCTACAAATAGCAGAGCTTGGTGTTCTTTGTCTGCTCTGGATCGGTAATGGCCCCCACGTCACCGGACTTGTCCAGAATGCTGCTGCAAAGTTGGACATCGGGACTTTGGGACTTTGGTACTTTGGACTTTGCATCTTCTGCTTTAGGGTGCCGCCCTGACTTCTAACGAAGTGCGACTTTTCTGCTATCAGACCCTACCAGACTTCTAGAGGCCTCTAGGACCCGAGGGACTGGGACTTACGACTTTTCAGCTTACTAGAGGAAGTGATAAGAGCAGCTTCCTCTAGTAGGCATAGTCCATACTTCTCAACAACGCCAAGTTGTCATATATAACATAACATACTTCCAAGAAATTTTGCATCCATGCCCCCTGCATGGCCAATCTTGCATCCATGCCCCCCACACTTTGCCCACCGTTTTCGGAAAAATACGGAAAACTGAGAAAAGTACAACCACAGAACAGCCTCCAGAAAAAAACTGAATGAAAAAAAAAAAAAAAAAAGGGTCTTGTGGGCGACGAATAAGGGATGAAAGTACACACTGTCAGGTGGACAAAAAATTTAATGAATCATACTAAATACGCACATGTCCCAGCAGAGGCATCGCCGCAGCCGCCAAAACCCTTGGATGAGCTGATGAAGGCCCTGGGCCTGCATGAAATACAAAACCAGAAAAAGACAAAAAGACAAAACAACAAAAAAGAAAAGATAAGTAATAGCCTAATAGGTATTAAAAACATGAAAGTCGATGTGAATAGTAACGGCCCTAGTTCAGTTCATACACTCATGAGCTGTCAGAAACACAGACCTGACTTTACAACCCTGAATATAACGTATGCAGAAGTAGAGTGGTATAGTTCTTCTTCCATCCGAAATGCCCCTCAGTGTAATGGCATTCTTCCAAAATCAGGCTGCGAATCTCCTCCTTATCCGTGTAAAACCTGAAAGGCCTTGGAAATAGCCACCTACGTCGACCGATTCCTCAATATATTGCTCAGTTTATTTTTCCCTCCAGCCGGGCCGCCCGGATGACCTTGTTTTCCCGGGCGGCTGGCCGTGCAAGCGCCAAAGTAGGTCCCAGCCAAACAAAAAAACAAAAATCGTAAAAATCGGATTAAAAACTATGTTATGCAGAAACATCAACTGAACAACTTTTGCCTCAGGATCACATCGAACGTGTTTACCAATTAAAAATAAAAAATTAAAATACACTTTTTATTTTTATTTTTTTGGCCCGGCCGGGCAAGTGGTCCCGGGCCACTCTATGGGCAAGCCTAGTGCATAGCATAAATTTTTTCAGAGTTTTTTTTTTTTTTTTTTGCTGGGACCTTTTATGGTCCTTTCACGTCCGGGCAGCCCGGGCAAACAAGGTCACCCGGGCGGCCCGGCTGGTAGCCTAGGAAACTAGGAAAAGCTGAATTCGAGTTCCATTTCGTTCTATTTTTTCATTGTGCGTGCGTTCCACTTCATCGCAAGTATACCCGTTATCCATTTCTTTATCCATCATTTCTTTATCCGTTTCTTTCTCAATTATCCATGATCCACTATACATTTAAAAAAAAAAAAAAGGCGGCAGCCTTGTGATACATCCTCTTTGAACTGAACGGCCCGAGGTAAATCTGCTTACTAGGCTCTGTTGTGCAAGTCCTGTTCAATTATAAATTTCATTATCCATTATCCATTATCCATTTCATTATCGATTATCCATGATCCATTATCCATTCTACAAAAAAGAAAAACTCGGGCGACTCCGTTCAAAAAAAGAAAAAACCGGGCGACTCGCTAGTGATACATTCTCTTTGAACGGACCGGCCCGACGTAAATCTGGTAACTAGGCTCTGTTGTGCAAGTCCTGTTGAATGATGGACCTTGCTATCTTTTTTTTTTTTTTTTTTTTTTTTTTTTCAGGACAGACAGCTTGCTCTCCTGTTGCTTTCGAACCATTTGTTGGGTTGGTAATAAATAATTCATGAGGTAAATTCAGAGATATTTTCACTCGTTTGATTCCATTCGGATTCGGAGTCACGTCTCAAGAGTTCGTGGTTGTAGCAGAACTGCGCTACAGGCCAGTCCGTACATCCATTGTCCATTATCTATTAATCAATTGCCCATAATGATTATCCAATTATTATTACTATCTATCTCCTTTTCCATTATATCCATTTCCTCATCCATTATATCCATTTCCTTATCCATTATATCCATTTCCTTATCCTTTGCAATGTCCAACATCCATGCCCATTATCCATTAAATCCAATATATCCATTTCCTTATCCATTAAATCCATTTCCTTATCCATTATATCCATTTCCTTATCCATTATACCCATTTCGTTATCCTTTGCAATGTCCATTCNATTATATCCATTTCCTTATCCATTATACCCATTTCGTTATCCTTTGCAATGTCCATTCTCCATTCACATTATCCATTAAATCCATTTCCTTATCCTTCATCAAATATCCATTTCATTTTCCATTTTCCACATCATTGTATTGAAAAAATGGAACGCATGTTAGAAATGAAAAAATGGACCGCACCAACTGGCCTAGCTCAGTTGGTACACCCCTGAGCTGGTTCCCCCCAGAATATACAGGGGCTGTGTCTTCTTTGAGGGGAAAAAAAAAAAAAAAAAAAAAAAGACCTGAGTTCGAGCTCCACTGAGGTCAATTGACTAAAGTTTCGACCGCGGGCGAGGTCCCACTAGCAAAGAAGATTGGATCGAAGACCTGAATCTGGACATGTTTGTGGAAAGGTGCAGAATGTCGAGATTGAATTGCTTTTCTGCGTGTCTGCTTAAAACACGTCCAGATTCAGGATATTTATCCAATCCCCTTTGCTAATGGGACCTCGCCCCGGGTTGAGATTTTGAGGGATTCCCGGCCTCATTCTTGATTGATAAGTAATACAGCTGCAACATTTTCAACCAAAAAAACAACCAAAAAAAACAACAAAAAAAAAAACAACAACAAAAAACCAACCAAAAAAACAAAAAAAACAAAACAAAAAACTACGATCTTCTTGATTTCACTAGGACCGCTCAATTTGATGAGCATATCTAGTTTATGCTTATGACAAAGATTTCGATGGTTCAAGTTTTGTTTTCCTTAATGATGATCATCATCATATCGCAATGCCATCGCCCTGTCAAAGAAAAAAAGAAAAAAAAGGAAAGCGAACCAAAAAAAGGACCGCAAGTCAGGTGAAATGGAACGGCAAAGCACAGTCCACGTTTTTTTTCGATTTCACATGCGATTACATGTGAAATGTGAAATATAAAATGTGTTATATTTGAAATATAAAATGTGAAATGTGAAATGTGAAATGTGAAATGTGTGAAATATAAAATCTGAATGTGAAATGTGAAATGTGAAATGTGAAAATATGGCCCCACTGTCATTCGGGGCATCCGTTAAAATTGGAAGGATACAGAGAATAAAGATTAGCACGGGCCCTGTGCAAGGATGATCATTTAGCAAATGAAATATGAAAATATGAAAATATGAAAATATGAAAATATGAAAATATGAAAATATGAAATATGAAAATATGAAATTGGCAAATGGGGAAATTATGGGAAATGGAGAACGCAAAATTAGGAATTAAAAAAAAAAAAAAACACGAAAAAAAAGGGGGGGTCCATCTCATTGCAATGACGTGCAAATTTTATAAAGAAAAGGGTTCCATCTAATTGCAATGACGTGCACATCGTGGGCACAATGGACATGCAACGTACACGTGTCAACCAATCAAACGCCGGACTGGAATTCGAAAAAAAAAAAAAAAAAAAAAAAAGGATGGAATTAAAAAAAAAAAAAAAAACAAAGGATGGAATTAAAAAAAGAAAAAACAAGGGATGGAAGTAAAAAAAAAAACAAAATAGTGACTACGCGGGAGTCACAAAAACACTTCGAAATTACAGTTTAGGCCAAAACGGGTTTCAAATTACCTGCAATGTACCTGACCGGAAGATGGCTTGTATACATTGCCCGAAGTGCAATTTGAAACTCGTTTTGGCCCAAACTGTAATTTCCAAGTGTTTTTGAGACTCCCGCGTAAGTTCCCCCAAAAAGGGGTAATTGCGCGGGACTGACAAAAAACAGTTTCATTTGCATGTCCATCCAAACCCTCGCACGGCCGGCGACACCGTTTGCAGTATGGGCCAAGACACAGTTTGCAATTGCAGTCCGGGCCTGCAATGTATACAACCCAGCTTTCTGGCCAGGTGTAGGGTGCCCAAAGCGCAATTGCAAACAGTATCTTTCCCCATAGTGCAATTATATATAACTCGTTTTTGTGACTCCCACGTACTTACCGCTTTTTTCTTTTTTTTTCCCAACAGAAAGACTCAGCTCGTTTTTTCCTCCTTTCTCCCCCGGCCGGTTGCACTCCAGCCTCGCATTAAGGAAAAAAAAAAAGGGAGCGGGGAGGGGGATGGGGGAGGGGGGGAGGTCCGCTTCTCCCTCGCCTCTCGATGTTCATGCCACGGTGGCGAACGAACGGCTGAGCAGAGAGGAGGAAGAGAAGGAGGAGGAGGAGGAGGAGGAGGAGGAGGAGGAGGAAGAGGAGGAAAAGGAAGAGGAGGAGGAGGAGGAAGAGGAGGAGGAGGAGGAAGAGGAGGAGGAGGAGGAAGAGGAGGAGGAGGATAAGAAGGGGACACTCACAGAGGGGATTTCAGACGGGATCGGTTACGTGCAAGTTCGGAGAAGAAGACCGGCAAAAAAAAAAAAAAAAAAAGGGGGGAAATATAAAAGCGGAAGGGGAAAAAATGAAGTTATAGAGGCAAATGGGGCGCGAAGGGGAGGTTGAAGAGGAGAAGAAATCCGATTAACGCAACAGTATAAATTAATTAATAAGAATAAAAATAACAACAGTAATGATAAAAAGACAAGACAACAAAAAATGTGATTTTTTTTATTTATATATATATTTTTTAAGCTGCCTTCTCCTCATCGGTGGACAGCCCAAACAACATGAACTGAAGCTGATTTTAATAATAATAAGAATAATAAGAATAATAAGAATCAGAATAAGAATAAGAATAATAATAACAATAACAACAACAACAGTAGTGATAATAAGACAAGACAGAACACGAGCTTCAAACAACCAGCAAACTACTTTGAAATGCAAGTTGAGTTTGATTTATAAAAATAAAAAATATATTTTAAAAAACAGCACACGAGAAACGACAAACTAAGAACGGCAAAAGCTGCGCCTTGCATTAAAAAAAAAAAAAAAAAAAAAAAAAAAAAAAAAAAAAAAAAAAAAAAAAAAAAAAAAAAAAAAAAAAAAAAAAAAAAAAAAAACGACCGGCAAATAGCAAGCAACAATAATAATCCTCGAGTTCAAAAAAAAAAAAAAAAAAAATCTTTACGTTGCAAAAACATACACGCTAGGAAAAAAAAGAAAAAAAAAAAGAAAAAAAAAAAGAGACGGTTGCTTGGACTCACCCATAAGAATGCGATTGGGCAGCACGAGCGGTGTAGTCGCCAGCGCTGGCCTTTCGTGGGTCAGCTCGCTTGCCTCAATCCCTGCCATCTCTCTCTCTCTCTCTCTCTCTCTCTCTCTCTCTCTCTCTCTCTCTCTCTGTGTGTGTGTGTGTGTGTGTGTGTGAAAGGCACGTACAAACACGACCGCAGACCGGCGAGCACGCCCGTGTAGTTACAGCGAGTGCGCCGTGCGGTGATTGCGCGTGCATGCGCAGTCTGCGGAAGCGGTGCGGAAGCGGTGCGGAAGATGTTGGCAACTTTTCACCGCGCACGGTACCGCGGCGCTTCCGCTGCCGGCGTGCGTCGATTGCCCGTGCATGCACAATCTGCGGAAGCTTGGGAAGCTGCGCGCAATTTTACAGTGCACGCGGTACCTCGGCGCTTCCGCTGCCGACGTGCGGCGATTGCCCGTGCATGCACAAGCTGCGGAAGCTTGGGAAGCTGCGCGCAATTTTACAACGCACGCGGTACCTCGGCGCTTCCGCTGCCGACGTGTCGCAAGCGTGGCGCATGCGTGGCGCGTCGACAGATATGGCGGCAACGGTAATTTCTATGGCTCGCGGCAGCACTGGCCGCACTCCAACAATTTGAATGTACAGGGATGATTATTTGTCCACATACATTCAAAATTTGGGCGTTCGGCAAGTGGCGAGCCGATCCCCTCATGGCCCTGGTTGCACTACTCGCCATCCGCCAAGATTTCGAATGCATCTCGAGAAACTGACGTCCACATACATTCAAAATTTCGGGGTTCGGCAAGTGGCGAGCCGATCCCCTTATGAGTGGCGGGGCCAACAATTTGAATGGATCGGGACAAATTTGAATGTACATGGACCATTTCCTGTCCCTATACATTCAAAACGTCGGCGTTCAGTGGCGTTCAGTGAGTGGCGCGGCGACCCCCTGTGACTGCGATACGGCGGAGCCAACAATTCGAATGTATCACGGTATCACCACACTACCAGACCTTGAAGTATACAGCTATATCAGACAGCTTAGGGCCAGATCCCACTAGCCCCTATTGTTCATTTCTGACCGTTGATCTTCGTAATCGAGGGTGAAAAATGAATAACCCAGGGTTACCGTAGTGGGATCTGACCCTTACTCACTCTGTGGCTGAGAGGGCCTGAGCCAGCCCTGATTACTCACTCCCATGAATTTCCTCCTTTTGCTCCAGCCCTGATTACCTCATGTATAAGCGAAGCCAGGTATTGTACCTGGACTCATGGTTTCTCTTTTTTTTTTTTTTTTTTTTTTTTTGGAAAGATACAATCATTCATTACCAAAGCAAGAGGACGAGGCCGGGGACATCACAATTCTACCCGGAGTTATCCTGGCAGCATCAGCCAGTTAAGTTTACCGAGCAATCTCTCACAACTGTTCTACGACTCTGCTGGAAACCGGGTCCAGCGTCCCTTGCCTGTATTAACTTTCCAAAAAGTAAAGCCTTGAAGTACTTGGTAAAAAGGGACTGTCTTAACAGTCAATATCGATCCTTTTGTCTTAAAACGCTGAACATTATAGCCCTGTTGTAGTTCCGTTGGCTTAACGCAGTTGCTCTTGAGCTTACCTTCCCTCATCTTAATACACTGGCAACCAAGGGGTTTGGGGGCCTGGGTGAGGAGCACAAGCAACTCCTAGAATACAAGTCGGGTCTAAATCGACCCTGTCTGTAACCAGTGTCTGACTAGCTCATCCTCCCTCTACCTCCCCCCCAGGAGCCCGGAGCCAATCTTCAATTTGCCTTCCCTTGTAATAGTAGCCCACTTACTCCCTGACGCCCAAGTTCTGGCGAACCAACTCCGACCTCTCCCTTCCAACCGTCTCCATCTATCCCAGTCCGCTCGAACGGCCAGGCAAATGTTTTTCAGAATTTGATTCTTCTGCTCAAAAAAATCTGTGTCTGTATTGCAGAAGACCTTCGCATTCCTTGCAGCCCAGATAACTTCCATAACTGCTCCCCTACAGACCGAAGCTACATAGCCCCAACCTGCCCTGTAACCTGTCTTCGAGGTAGACGTATTATAGAGGACCCACTCCTCTGTCCATTCTTCTGGGCTTACCTGCATACTCTTCCAAAATAGGATCCACCATTCCCACACTCGTGTGGACAGCGGACAGAGAAGCCAAAGGTGTCGTGAGGTTTCCCTGTCCTGGCCACATCTTTTACATGTTTCATCTATATTCATGCCCTTTCCAGCTAACCACGTAGCCACCGGAGTGACCTGCAGTGCTTGCTGCCAGATGAGGCCAGCCTGCTTCTGAGAAGGAAGCTTCTTAAGAGCCTTCCACAGTTCATCCCATTGTGGCAGTTGTCCTCCCCCTTCTTGATCCTGCAAAGTTCTCCTCGTTGCTTTTGCCAATGGAGGGTCCACCACTTTTGCCCTTTGTATCTCCACTCCTATTTTCGGTTTGTATTGGATCAATGCAGTATCCTCTGGACGCTGGGTCAAGTGCTTGTGCCATCCGTATATGAGGGGTTCAACTTTGAACGTCTCCGCTTCACCCAGAAGTGTAACCGTGGACGCCTTTCCCGAACCTTCCTGTTCTAGCACTCTCAGTTAGGTAAGACCTACCAATTTCTGCACCACTTTCTCTCCTTCCAGTTTTAAAGTCCTTCGAGCCCTCCCACTAATTCCTTCAATCCAAGATTGGACTCTGAAGCCTCCTGTTGCTACCTGGGTCTCCACCCTCCAAACTCTTGTTCCGTCTGGGGATCTTAACCAATTGTCTTTGTTACTCGGCTGAGACTCCTTCAATATCGAGATCCAGTGTGCAGGAACAGCATTTATAATCTTTGTTGCATTGGCTTCCACCGATCACAGTCTAGGGAGTTTCTTCCTGATCTCCCGTTCCGTTAACCAGTAACCCAGCTCGGAGTTCCACAGATCCTTAATCTGCAGAATTCCTTTCTTGATCCATGCATACCCAAAGGAGCCCACTGACCCATCCGCTGGGAACACAGACCCATTTTCTTTTGGTTTCTCTTTCCGGGTAGACTGTGAGGACCCGTTTTCTTAAGCAAAGGGAAGCTGGACCCGGTTTCCAGCAGGTGCAGCTCCCCACCAATAGATGGAGTCATCTGTAAATAAATTAAAAAAAAAAAAAAAAAAAAGAATGTTGTGACGCCCCAACCTCACGCCCAGCGCGACTTCCTGATCGGAGTAGGATGTGGGCCTGGAAGTGCAAAAAAGGGTGTGCCAAGGATTTTTGGGAAAGTGGGGGAGTCTTAAGGGTATGAATGCAATTGGGCGAATAAGGGGCGCGTGCGCAGCGACTCAAGGCCCGATGGGGCTGGGGTACTGTGGGCGACGGTTTGCGGGGAAGTCCCTCCGCGGCGGAGGCGGTCCCGAAAAGTTGGACCTTCGGGGGCCGCCACGTGGCGCAGGCCGCTGCGTATCTGGGTTGGGCCTTCAGAATTCCGGGGTTCTCCGTTCGCCGCTACGTCGGCAATTCCCGCAGGGCGTGCTGGGCCAATAGGGGGCTATGGCCGGCCACGGAACGACGCTGAGTTGATGATACGGGAGGAGAAGGCGAAAAGGAGGGAAGATGGTGGTGATGACGACAAATCCCGGGTGGATGAAATAGTAGGTATGGTCGGGGGAAGGGAAATCAGAGCACCGGGGGTCGCTAGAGGTGGCGCAGTGGAATTCCCGCAGACATAGTCGATTCTCCGTGTGACAGGGGTATCGCAGCCTTAAGAGCTCGTTTATCCAAGGGGTGAAGTAATCCGGGTCGTAGGATGAGTCTGAGCTCCAAGATCGCGTCATGGTGTCATCGTGTACGGGATAGCTCTGGTCGGGTTATCGTCACCACGCACGAGCACGTGTAGGACAAGCGAACTTAGTTGCGCCTCAGCGTGCTCGTGCGGGATGATGGTTTCGCCGCGAACCTTTTTTTTGGATGGACGGATCGACGCACGGGGATGTGTGTAAACGCGTGATTCGGATCGTGTTTACACATGTCCTCGCGCGGCGTTCGCAGGGCTCGAGTGTCTAATGGCTCCGTAGGTTCGGTTATGCGAGATGCGACCACACCACAATCTAAGCAACAACGAGAACAAAATCGATATCGAGGCCAAGTTCTTATCCCCTCTACAGCTGTATCAGGTGCAGGCGAAGATTCGACACAAACAAAAGCAAGGACAAGGATTTTCAGCCAAAGATAGACAAGCAGGCATAGCATCCATACATCCATACATTCAGTAATCATACATATAATGCAATCGAGACGGAAATCGCAAAGATAAGTGTGAACAAAAACCCAAGTCCAGATTCCAAAAAGCCGAGATGAAAACAAGAACGGGCGACTTCCCGGAGCCGCAATCAAAATGTATGTACACAGATGAAGGGGGGGGAGAGACAAGGAAACAGCAAATCCGCGTCCATCGACAACTCTCTCTCCTCTTCTCCCTCTTCTCCGATGCGGACAGTCCGTCGTCGCGCACCAACCCACGAAGTCGTCACCCCACTTAGTCCTCCCGCACCTGTCGGATTCGCCCGTGCCCACAGTCCGTGTGGCCCACGTCAATCCTGCGCGTTCGGCACCAGCCCGTCGGGTCGCCCAACTCCCACTCTACTCACCTCTTACTTCGCTTGTGTGCCGACCCTTCCTGATCGCGCAACCCCAAGCTTCCAACAACGGGTTAAGAGAGCTAACTAATCGCGCAGCCGAAATTTATAGCGTGCATGCATGCGCGAAGAACACGGAATTACCAAGACTTAGAGGGGGAGATTAGCGAGGGAGCGCCTACGTTCTGCATGACCGGGCCGCAGCGTGGGGGACGCAACCACTCTCCATGCATCGATCTGAGCATGCAGTCCGTAGTTTCAAAAACGCAGCAAAAAAAGGAGGGCGGCAAGGACGAAGAGCAAGAAGAAAGATACAGTTACAATGGCGCCAACCCAAGATTACAGTTACACACCCGATTAAAGGCGCCGACTAATCAGAATTCCGTTGCAACCGCAAAAAGAAGCGCGTAAGCAAATAAGGGCGCCGCGCGGCAAGAGAAAATCCTAATTACAAAACTCCTAAATTCATAACTAATGAGAAAAGCAAAAGTACAGGTTCCGAGAGGAAAATCCGAAATTCCGAGAGCCATCAGGGCTCGACAAAATTCGGAAAAAAAAAAATTGAAAGAAAATTTTTAAAAGAACCGTGCAAAGTCCCGCGAGATGTCCACGCCCAAAAGATCGAAACCGAAGCGAAAGAAACGACGCCAACATTTATTAATCGTGCGCACGGAGGCGCGCCAGCCATCCAGCCGACCAATCAATCAACCGGCCATCCCAAGACACGCCCAGCTCCGAATCCAGCCAAAGAAGCGATGGAAAAGACGAAAAAGCAAGGACACTGATGCAATTTCCC